TATATATAATATAAATATTGTCAAAGATAAAAGCAATTTTCAATTTTGGTAACACACAAGTGACTTGCCTCCTCTTTGTTCATCTACAGTTCTATTATAATACAGTTTGTATTATAAATTAAGTGTTACCTTACCGTATAATCTTCTCTTCGATATTTCTACAAAAAGTGTTCCACATGTCTTGCTTCTGTTACCTCACACGTTTGGCATCTTTGTATCACGTACTCTTTCAAAAATTCCTGATTTTTCAGCAAAACATCACAGACAAGTGACTAATACTTCCGTATTAAAGCAAATTTATAAAATAAACCTTTGTTTACAAACGTATATCTATGAACAGAAGCAGGAAAATCATATATGTTACCAAAACAGAAAATCGGCTCTACCTCCAACAATAGTAACAATTTTACTTGTATATAGATTAACATTGTTATGAAAGAAATTTCAAAAAAAAATCGAAGCAAATCGTTAGATCTCAGATATGCCTGTGTTTATCGATTTTTAAAATTCTTCGTTTTTAGTAATACATCTGAATAAACGCGAACATAAAGTGTCAATTGTTTGAAATCTATATTAGTAAATCTTACCAAAAATTTTCCAAAGTTATTGAAATATATGTCACACAATTAATTAACCACAGGTGATTACTACCACCCGTATTACTATACAGGCGAGCTTTTTTCAAATAATGCGCCTAAACCTACTCACGTAATGTAATAATTATATTTAAATTTGTGCATTAAATAAAAATTTATATGTTCAATTAAATTTTTCTTTGAGCTTTCCTACCTTTTACGATGATGACGTCGCTGTCGTCGATTCGATGGATTTTGGGTATTCATTTCAGGTTGCGCATTAAATGTTTCCTTGATGCTGTCTGTATATACGTGACCTATATATTTATTGGCCTCGGTAGTAAAAGCTGTAGAAGTTAAAAATTCGAGAGGCATGTCATGATTCGGGTGTTTAATTTTCACTGATTCTGATATCGATACCGTCCTTGAAATCTGTCGACGAGCTTGTCTTTCGAAATACCTTTTTTTCGAAGCTTGGGTCGAGGATTCCAGTCTAATGGTACATAAGCAAAATTGGCAATTAGTATAATTTTTCTTACACACTACTTACACATGTATTTAATTATATGTATGTGTACATGAGTATCCAATAACAAATAAGTAGAATGCGCATATTTATATTTGCGCGTGCGTATATGTACACAAATGAGATGTTTTCAGAAAATACGCATTGTTATTTACTTTCAGATAAAACAGTGACACTATTTCATTGTGTATAATACGTTGTCTGATGAAATTTAAATCGCACTCTATTTTTTTTTTTAAATAAACCCTAAAATTTTGTTGATATTTTTTCGTGCATGCATGATATCTATTTAAAATATGCGTTATGCGATAAAAACAAAATATTTAATATAAGATATATATTTCATACTAAATATATAAATTCTAATATTTAACTTCTTATATCGCGCAAAAAAACACAATAAGTACACATTCATGATGTAATACCTAAACGCAAAACCCTCGTTTTTCACTGCAGGGTTAGTATCATCACTTCTATCATTAAAGCTGAAACCACCATCAGATTCGCCACCCATGCTATATTGATTGCGATCTATAATAATCGATTTCGACTTTTTTTGAACAACCGCATCGTCATGTTCAGCGAGCATTTGTTCGTTAACACCTCGTTCACTTTTAAACTGGAGAATTTCTGAAAAACAAAATAAAATAAATATCTCTTTTCGCATTAAATACTACAAGCATAGATACACACATATAAACATGTAACAACCATATAAATAAGCACGCGAATATTTGTTTAGAGAGATCACTGCGTATAATGTGTGTATAGCTTTATTACGATAACCGTATTGTCAATATTCTAATAATTTCAGCAAAAATATTACCACTGATTATTTCGCACATTTATAATAGAACATTGTGATATATATATATCATATAATAATATACTTATACCCGTAAGCCCTTCTTCTTCTACTTGAAGACCTTCGTTTAATATTTCTTCCCTGTACTTCTTTATTTCTTCCAGATAGCTTTTATTTAACTTTTGCTCGCGCCATTCTGTCTCATATTTGATATTTGGCAGTGCAATGTCACCGAGAAAACCGCCTGAAATTAATTGTACGCGATATGTATATTGTTATGTAATTCCATTAGCAAACTGAGCGCGCGTAATAAATTAGAATTCTTCCAATCTCCGATGTCACGAGCGTACATGCATACATGCGTGCGTTGGTGCTCGTTTCGGTTAATTAATTAGGCGCTCGCGCACACACACCATCACATCTCGATAGGTATTAACGAGGTTGAAATCGCCGCATTCGCGAGGACATATCCGTAAATACAGTCTCGTAGCAACGAATTGCATCAGAGCCGCAGTTATAGTTCATCGAGCCATATATGCATTTATATACGCGCGCAATATATACAAGAATTAATTCTGAAGATATTATATACACGATAATTTAAAAGATATTAAATTTACTAATATAAATCATGAAATATTTTCAGCGATTTTTCTGCGCAATTAACTTTATATAGTTTATATCTATCATTTTCTTTGAAATATCGCAGATGCGGCCCTGCACAGATTCCGTACGCGAATGCATGTATATGCATGGTGCAGTCGGTTACAGACCACGTAATGCCAAACCCCTGTCCGTTTCGAATCGGTGATTTTGTCCCATTCAGGCGAGACCATCGTCCGAATGTTCGCATAAAATAATCGCATTGATCTTCCATAATAAATGATAAACATTTTTTTGAATATTTGATGTGTGAGTTCTTCGCGCTCAACGTAGTTTTTCTATTATCTAATATTTCCAACGTGCTTAATCATATGCGTGCACGTGTGCACATGTGTGTGTGTGTACACGCACGCATTTTAATATTATTTTATATTTTTTCAAATGTTTTTTCTCTTCATAAAGCAAAATAATTATCAAAAAACAGAAAAAATAACCTTGCAATGATGTAAATAATATGTCGTTTTTGTTTCATTTAAAAGAGTTTTGCCAGAATATTTCTCACAGCAAAATAAAATTTTAAAATTAAGAAAGATTTAAGAGAGAGAGAGAGAATATTCGTGATGCTATATTGTCATATCACATAATCGTGGCAAAAAACCAATCGGGATATCGGAACTGTTTCAATCTGTGAATCGATCTGGAAAACCACCTTTTCCATTTCATTTTCCAAAATTTTACGATTATCTTTGTAATAACCAACTGATTGTTTTAGCATGTAATTTTGGTAATACATTTTTAAATAAAAGACAACATAGCAAAAGAGAACTTTAATCACAATATATATGTAAGATTGCTACACACACACACACGCGCGCGCGCGCGCGCATAAGTATAAAATTAATTGTACAGAAAAATCTCTGAATATATATATA